AAAAAGGTTCTGTCGCTGAACGGAAAACTTTTGCGCGACTCTATGTTCACAACTGTGGTTGTGGATGGCCCATTTGCGAAGCCAAACGGTCAGCCAATCTCTGTAAATAGATGGCTATCCGTGGGTCCCGACAATTGGCATGTCGACCGGCGTACTCCTTCAGCTCTCGTAATTCAGTCTGTAGCATGTGTACTTCCGCCTTCAGTATGCGGTTACTGCGCTCCGAATCCCGCGCTCTCTCAACTAGCGCTTCCTGCTCCATTTTCTGTTTGCTTCGACACTTGCTGGCGGCTTTGCGGTTCTTTTCGAGATAGATAGCTCGCGCTGAGCCTGGTTCGGCGTACTCGGATCTACGCCTCTTTGTTGACGGTGTTGCTGTGGTATTTGGGGATGCTTCTTCGTCCTTAGGGTATAAACTGTCGTGTCTTCCTTTGGCATCGTCGTCGTTGTCGCCTTCGTAGAATTGGGACGCATCGGTGGAATCGAATTGAGTTTGCGATGGGGAGATAGTTGGAGTAGAGATCGAGTTTGCTGACTGATTGGAAGGAGTAAATGCTGAGCCGCCCTGGGCGCCGAAAAAGGTGTTCGCAGTCGGTGCTACGTTTAAGTTAACGCTTGCGCCCGAAACAAACGCCTGCGAGTTCGTGGATTGAGACATGGGCGGCGGAAAATTGCCCATATACTGGTATCGTGCGTGTTGTGGGAATGATGTACTTGTGGGCGATATGTGCGTAAAAGATCCATAGCTACCGGGCGCTGGTGTTTCTTCTGGCTGCCCTTGATTCGGTTGGTACACTGGGTACCCTGGCTGCCCCGGTATCATTGGAGAATTGTCGTCCGACATGTAAGAATGATGTTGATTAGAAGGTATGAGAACTAAGCTCATTGTTAACGGTATTTGCCTGTGAGGATATGTGGTTTGAAGTAACTCGCTACCACGCTTTGCCAGATTTCGTGCCGATTGTGTGCAATGGACCCTTTTGGAGACGACACAATGATTTGGTGAATAACGGAGATATCTGAATAGACTAGAAGTGGTGAAGCTGGACGTGTTGAGAGTGTGATGATGCAGGTAGTTTGTTTGTCATGGGAAGTGAAGATTTAAACGTCGATCCATGGTAGGCGCCATTCGCAACCGTGGAAAGCAGGACCATGGCCAACTTATCCTCCAAGCGAGAAAATCCTGGTCGGCGCGCTGAACGAACGCGTGGTACGGGTACGCAATTGCACGGTGCTGTAGATTGTCGAAGAGGCCATGACGGTGCGGAAAACATGCCCGGGGAGGATCCACGCGACATGATTGAATGAGCTGCTACGCGGCGACATGTACCGCGACCACCTACGAGCCAAGCACATTGCATGCTGCTGCAGGGAAATGCGCATTGCCGCAACCTGCGCAGCAGCTGTCAACGCGCTCTGGTAGCTAATAATGCTGGTCTGTCGGATGAGGGCAGTCGCGACGAGGTGAGACGGAGGGAACGGCACGCTCGTGATGCGGCGGGGGAAGCCGAGCCATCGGCATGACGTCGGTGAACCTCCAGAGCTGTTCATGGGGGCTCGTTCTTAACCAGCAGTAGTGGTATCCCTCGATCAGGTACGTGTGGGCCTTCTGCGCTAGTTGTCTCCTAGCCCTTCGACGTTGCACGACGTGCCGTCGCTAACGCCAGTCGCCAACCTTGGAATCGCGCTACCGCTGGCCTTCGTCACCCGCAACCCTCTTTCTGGTATTTTGCCTCAAACTCGGCTCCAGAAATAGTGGGTAGCAGGTGCTCTGAGACTCCATTTCCTATGTATTTGTACATCGTGAACCCACTCGTTCAATCGTTCTTCCGTCCCAGATCTGCTCAATCGCAAGCTCGTTTCTTTTGCACCTCAAGGCCCTACCACTATGAGCATTGGCGCCGACTCAGACCCAAGTAAAGATTCCGTCCTGAACAAGAAGCTTCTCCGCGGGATCAGCTGCGTGCCATATCGGCATTTTAGCTCTCGGCGAATGCTCTGATCTAAGAGTATGGAGCTGGACTCTTCGTTGCGATGCATATTCGACGTCATTCTCAAGGGTGGACCGATCGACGATCTGTTCCGATATCCGATGACACTTCTCATAGGCTGTTGGGGGTTGATTGCAAGCATCATGCCAGTAGAAGAGAAGATCGCGTCGCATATGCAGAATATCAACTCGCATTTCTGCAGTCTGTCTCCGCCGCCTCCGACACCATGCCAGCCCTAAAGCCAAGAAACGGGCAAGGCTGGTGAGTAATCCACTCTTCCGGGACGGCTCGATAGCTAGAAGCACCAGTGATGAGTTCCTGGTCTATCCGATACACGCAACTATGCTGTCCTTGAAGGAGCGGTTTCTCCCAAAAGTCGCTGAATTTACTTTTTGTAGTGGCGGCCCGTCATCTCGAATCGATAAAGAAGCGATTCGAGTTCCCAACGGGTCCACGGGTACACCAAGCTAGCCCTTCCTCCGCATCGCGTCCCGCAGCACCAACAATCTGCGGAGTAAATAGTGGTTATCGAGAGCGACCATCGTGAGGCTGCAGCCGAAGATGCCGGCGGATCCATGTATGCCGAACCTGCGAGATAACTCCAGTGGACGTCGGGTAGAGTCTTCTGAAGCATTCACCACGGCGTAATAGAGAGTATCGTAGCCCTCTCAGGGTTGACCCTGATACCAGAAGCGGCATTAATAATGCGGCACACTACCAGCCGAAAGGAAGCCGCTCTTAGTCTGGACGCATCGCCGACACTACACAACTTGAGACAGTGCCAGCAGTGTATACTTCGACCTTGGTTGATTTTTTGTTGAAACTGCATACATCGCCAGTATCGCTTCACGATAAGCACAGGTATCATGAGCCTCTGCAAGCAGTATGTCGCACCGCTTTCTCAACCTGCTCTCATATCAGCCACACATGCAAGTGGTTCTCAGTCTCTCTTTATAGTCCATGTATCTGTATAATTCTAGTCACATCCATGTAGACTTGCCGGTTTGCCGCTCGGCGTAAAAAGTAATCCTGTATCCAACTTCCCGCTGTCAACATACCACCTGCATGATCTACTTTACGCTTTGCATCAATGTGTCCGTTCAACCGGATAACATATTTTGAGCCATTCATTGTTCCCGTCTTATCCATTATTCCCGTCGCCCAGATCCATCGTTCCGATGCCCCATCCGAGAAGCGGATCCCGCTTCCGAAGTACGCCTAGATCCAGCCGTGCCAGTCTAGACCAACGGCAGGGTACTGATATTCTGTCCAGTCTTTGGTACTCTTACACTCACGCTAAAAACCCCATGCTTCGAATCGGACTTCGTCATATCTATCTCCCCGAGTTGTAGTGAATGACCTCAGGATGGAAGCTCATAGAGACTGTGTCGTGCTGTATACGTAGCTTGCTTGAATTCCTCCATCGACGCCCAGCTACCATAAACATCTAAGAAAATGTATCCTATCCTGTCATATTTCTCGAGAGACGGTCCCGTCGTCGTTCTCGCAAATCGAGTTAAACTAACATCGGGATAAAACACCCAGATTGTAGGCTACAAGTCGTCGGACCTCCGAACTCACAGGATGACTCTCCGATCCGATATCGGGATCGTCCAGCGAAATCTACAGCCAAACTTCGCATCAGGGCTCAAGACAATCTGGGGTTCAACAGGCGTCATACCTCCAGACATCTAAGCGACCGTTGCGGGTAAACTTTCCCGGATACGCTCCCGGTTCGCCAGCGGCCGAGCGACCCACGAATCTCCGCACTTGCAACCCACCCAACTACCGCCAAACATGGTAGTTGAAACGACCCTGGCGCAGGCGCGTACCTAGGTACTACAAATATACCAGCTTCGACATACGTCCAGAACCTACGAATCCAAAAAGTGCAACATAAAACCGCCAAAATGCGCGTCATCGTCTTTGGTGCATCGGGCGTCCAGGGGCGTCATCAAGTCCACGCCCTCGCCCGAGCAGGCCACTCTGTCGTCGCCGTGAGCCGCAACCCGAATCCCGTTTTGGTAGACGGAAAGGACGTGGAGACATTTGCCGCAGACTTTACCGACCATGATGCCATCGCAAGAGTACTCCAAGGCGCGGACAGGGTCTTTCTCAACCTCCCGAGTACCTCGTTCAACCAATCCGAGCCCATCATTGCGGCAGCCAAGTACATCGGGGAAGCCGCAAAGAAGGCCAACGTTCCGTTGATTCTGTTCAACACGAGTATGCCGGTACCGAAAGAATCTCAAGACATCGTAGCTCAAGAGGACAGAAGGGAGATGAGGAGGCTGTTGAGGGAGTCTGTACCGACCATCAGCATTGAGCCCGTGGTTTATCTCGACAATCTCCTCGAAGGCTGGGCTTTACCTCCGATCCGCGACCGCAACACCGTCGTTTACTGCCACAAGCCCGACCTGCGCGTGTCGTGGATCTGTCACCACGATGTTGCGCAGATCATGATGGCCGCTATGGAGCATCCTGAGCTTGCTGGTCGCGACATCCTTATCGGCGGTGCTGAAACCGTTGTTCTTTCCCAACTAACCGAGAAGCTATCGAGAGCCTGGGACAAGCAGCTGAGTTATGAGAACCAGACTGTTACAGACTTTTGCGATAAGATTGGCAAGGCGATGCAGGGGCGTGGTTTGGATACGGACACGATTGTTAGTCAGATGTTCAAGGCGTATACGTATTACAACGAGGCAGAAGATGAACCGTTCAATGTTGATATGAAGCCTGTGGTGGAAGAGCTGGGAGTCAAGCTGACGCCGATTGAGGAGTGGGCTAAGAGGAGGAGTCCGTGGGATGACAAAGGCTACTATTAGATGTGGAAGACAATGAGAAGGGATGAGGATAGTCTATGCTGTTTTTAATTCTCCTGAAATTCTAACATGTGTTGACGAAGTCGTTATATCGACACAGTATCAAATGACAAACTCCAAACTCCACCCAATTTGCCCATTCCCATTCCCATCCAACTACCCAAACTCAGAACAACCATATCCCCTTTCACATACCCCCAGGCGGCGCAATCCCCATCATAGCACTACTCGGATCATCCTGCGGCATCCCGTATTTCCCAATCCCCCTCCCCCTCCGTCTCTGCACCTCCAGCGCAACCTCATTCGCCTGCTTAAGCATATCCTCACTACTGCTCTTCCCGGGCACGAAAACCAATCCCAGATCCGGCGCCGGGTTTCCTGTTCCCACAAAGTTCCCCTCGGCGTCTTTGACGTAATGTGCATTGTAGTAGGAGCGCTTCATTTGCCGGATTATAATTGATTGACGTACTTCGCCTTGTTTGCGGGAGAACGGGTTGTAGTTGTGGAGGGAAAAGGCTAGGGTGCGCGTGATCATGGGGACGGGGATTGTTTCGTTGGGGTCGCCGGTGGAGAGGGTGGTTAGGGCGCGGGCAACGGTTGTGTAGGTTGGTGGGGAGGCTGTGTCTGTGGTGGAGGGGTAGGTTGGGGGTGTGTCGGGGGTGGAGTAGGGTGGGGCGTAGTAGTCGTTTGTTTTGGGGGTTGTTTCTGTCATGTTTGTTGTCGTTGTCGTTGTTGGTGTTGGTTGAAGTGGAGTAGTCGTGGTGTCGTGTATTGCGTATTGTGTATGTTCTTGGAGAGTTTGCTGCTTATGGATGCAGATAAGACGTGTCTGACAGCTATAACACCACCACCAAGCAATAGCGTCCTCGCTTGGTTATATATCCGGTCATCAATAGTAGAATGAACTTATTCCCACGATCTTCCTCACTGCCTCCAACTAAACCACCTCACATGGCTGAGCAACCGAATACGAGGTTGCTACCTACATAGCCTCCCGCCAAGGCTGGTAATGGCTAGCTTCCAGCTCGGCACGAGCTTGACACCATACGATTAGGACTCCAACCCAGTCGCATAACCTGGATAAATGACCGAGACATGCAGCAGAATCACCAAACAGGTAAACCATCCTACGACTCAACCTATCGCAGTGCCTCGGTGGCGAGTGCGCAAAGGCGGGGTGGCCGAGAAGGGGTTAGCGTTAGGACCCTTTTTGCAGATCGAATGATGTCATTGTAGGAAAGCTTTCCGGAGCGATTGTGGCTTTGGTTGCTTGTATCGTGTAGTGTTATGCTTATCCTGTGTCCGAGAAGGCTGAGGCGATTTAGTCCAACGTGTACTTGCCATTCAATCATCCCCGGAATATAAAGATAGATTTAAGATGTCGATCTCAAAACCCGGGGTTATCGCGGCGATGATCAGACAACAAGGACCGAAAGATCAGTCGTTCTAGCTCTCTTTACTCTTATCCTTTGCTGGCTTCACCGGTCGAGCCTGCTCAGTGCTGGGAAGCTGTTCATCACTGTGAATTCTAGTATGTTTGGTAACGGAGGTCTGCTGGGACTGTCCTTCCGGCGTGCTCCTCCTTTCCTTCGACCATGAAATGGGGGAATGCGCCGCTGACTCGGCATGAGGCCTGGTCTTGATCCTAGAGAGGTGTATCTCGGTGTACGGAATGAGTGCTATAGCTCCGGTGTTCGGCCTGGGGAACGCCTGTAGTTCCACATGATACTTATACATTATCAGATGACAGTTTGGGATCATTCGTAATTCATTTCATATACTCATAGCATCGCTAGTATTCTGCGATGACATACATATTTCAGCTCTGCCATACAGGCATGGCTACTTTTCCACCTGCAAACCTAGTGCACATACTCCTCTTCATCAACATCCTTCCCGCCCTTCTCGAGCATATGCTCAGGAAGAGGACTAGTGAACGGCTTGCGGCTCTCCCTCACAATAGCCGGAATGCTCGTACCCTCCGTGAACATCATCTCCAGCTCCTCCAGACTGCGGCCCATGGTCTCAGGGTATCCGAAGTAAACGACGGGCAGAATGATAGCGGAAATGATAAGGAAGACGAGGTAGTATTGCCAGCCGATAGTCTCAATAGCAACAGGCGTGACCATGTTGACGACGAAGTTCCAGAGCCAGTGGTTGGCAGTAGAAATACCTGCCATAGGCACGCGCAGCCTCGTCGGCGCAACTTCCGTGCAGTACAAAAAGTTCGCTCCGAGGAACCCAATCGGGATGAAGAAGTTGAAGAGGAAGACAAAGAGCGCGCTGGCGATCTGGGCCGATTGGTTTGTCTTGGGGAAGCTGGATGCGACGGCGAGGGCCAACATGCAGGATGCCATGCCCGCGCCGCTGAACATGAAGAGCTTGCGGCGTCCGAAGCGGTCGATGGTGAAGAAGGCGACGAAGCAGGAGAGGAACTTCCAGGTTAGCGCGCCGCCGGAGAGGATGCGCGAGGTTTCGCTGTCGAGGCCGAGACCTTGTTGGAAGATGATCTGTTGGTCTGCGTTAGAACTGGGTTGCATAGCCAGGGGGGAAGTGGACTTACGGTTGAGTAGGTGGAGATGAGGTTGCTGCCGCACATCTGCTGCAGGAATTGGAGGAAGATGCAGAGGGAGAAGCGGTAGAAAAGCTTGTCCTTGCCCATGGTGAAGATGTCGCTCATCTTGGCTGCGCTGCGGCCAGTTTCCTCAAGCGCGAGTTCGATGCCGCTGATCTCAGCAGTGATCTCGGGGTCGTGTAGATCCAGGCCCTTGAAGCTGGATAGACTGAGACGAGCCTCCTCCACGCGTCCCTTGTTCACCAGCCAGCGAGGTGATTCAGGGATACTGAATACGGCGGCCATAGGAACAAGAGAGATGACGGTGGGAATGGCGAGCGGGATACGCCATTGCAGAGGCAGGTTATCCTGTTCGAAGAATCCAAGGTTGATCCATGCTTCGAGGAGGTAGCCGAGGGAGATAAAGCAACCGTCGAGCACAACGTGCTTACCACGGTTGGCAGACGATGAGCATTCGGATTGCCAGACTGGGACGGTAGCGCTGAGAGCTCCGACTCCCCATCCTAGGATGAAGCGACCGACGACGAATTGCGCGAGCTGGAAGCTAGTGCATTGCAGGATCTCGCCGACGAGAGTCAGGAATGCGGCACCGAAGATGAGCTTTCGTCGTCCGAGGATGTCGCCGATCCAGGAGCAAGACAGAGCACCGAAGAGAGCGCCAATGGTGAAGGTAGCGACGACGGCACCTTGCTTGGTCGAGTTGCTGCTCTTCTCCGCGCCGGTAGTGTCGATGGTGTTGATCTCCGGGAAGTGGTCGTTCCAGTCACGGAGAGACAACAGTCCACCCACACCAGACTGGTTGTATCCAAACAGCACAAAAGCTGGCAGAACGACGAGCAGCAGCTGTGCCGTCTGCAAAGTCTTTCCGGTGAGTCCCATGGTGAAGATTGACGAAGGGAGGAAGATTCAGAGGGGGAGAGGAGGGGACTACAGAAGGAGACGGGATGGACAGCAGCTCAGTACTTGTACTCCAGAAGCGCACCCCACAATATCCTGCAATGTGGGCACACTACCATGGAGACAAACTCCAGTCAGTGCATTATTGAGCGGCTTTAGTGCTCCGCCTTTGGGGGGTAAACACCCTGACCCGGAGATACAGGTATAGCCAGCCAGCGAGCTGCACCGGATGCCTCGATTTAGCACCGACCCCATACACCGCAACACTAGCAGGTAACCCTCCACAAACGGCCTCGACTTTGTTGACCGGTCTGCAGTCCGTGCTTGCGGGAATTGACTCGCAGCATGACCACAAAGCAGGGCGCGTCTGCGTCCGCGGCCATAGTTCGGCGTCGCTCGCCTCAAAGCGAGCGGCTGGGGAGGAAAAATCCTTACGCCCTTGTCGCAGCGCTATCATGACGGTTGAGGCTTCATGTGGGCCGAATTTGTACTGAGGCTCTGCGGCAGGATTTAAGCTTTTCCAAGAAGACGTTAGGTGCTTAAAAACCTTGATACGCGTGCGGCGCGATTGGTTCGCATTACGGCCTCGGTAGTTGTTCTATCTCCACCATCGCCGTGCGCGCTCCGTAACTTCGGAAGATGGCACGCTGCTCGGGCGAGAGACGCAATTTGCTCAAGGTGCGTGGGTAGTGCGTCGGCCCAGATTTGATGATGAAACGACAGGCGGTTAACCAGGGAATCTGCCTGATTGCTCCACACCCGTGGGGTCGGCTAGAAGACAGTAAGAAACCGCCGGTAAGTTTGAAAGTATGTACCTGCGCATGCGGCGAGATAAGACTTCGCGCGAGACGATCGTAGCTTGTTATTGCTTGGCCAGACCTCAGTCGATGTCTGACCTGCTGATGGCTTTGCATAAACGCTCAAACTCTAGTACTGCTTGGTGCTTTTGCTAACTCTCATAAGCTGTGAAAGCCCGTCAACAGTTTCGGCTCTCTGTGTCCCCGTCTCGGTGTTCGCACTCGAGCTTGTTCCTTCAGGCCCCGCCCCACTTCGTCCCTCCGACAGTTCCGAGTCAGCGTCTGGGGTTTGACCAGCCTCCGGCTTGCCATGTCGGTCTTTGACAGCGTCGGCTGTCTGTTCGGGTGTCGCTCGTCCGATCTCCGCTAGATGGGTCGGTATGATGCCATACTCGAAGCGATCGATGACAGCTCGCTCCACTGCGATTCGCGGTTCCTCCACACTAGCTTTGTAATCCTTCAACAGCGCAACAGCCCTCTCGTCGCCCTTCAAGACACACCTATGGATCAACGTCTCCCACGTTTTCCTTCTTGGCTTCAATGGGCCCTTTTTGCCAGTTGTCGCGCCCGTTGACCGCATCTCCTCATAGTAGAGCAGAGCATCTTCCAGGTCACCCGATTCTAGGCACACCAGGATCAGACGATCGTACGTAATGCGGTCAGGTTTGAGACCCAGCTTGACCATCTCGTTCGCAAAGAACATGGCAAGCTCCTTGCGGGCGGACCTATGGCAGCCTTGAAACAGGATGTTGAACGTCTCTGTGTTTGGGCCAGCATGAGATACCGTGTGCAAGGCTTTGTAAATCTCGATGCCTTCTTCCAGGCGCTTGTTTGCGATACTGGCTTTGATGCATGCGTTGACAGCAGCGGCCGGGACTTTACGACCAGAAGTCTCAAAGTCTTGCAGATGTCTGAAGGCTTGCATCGGTCTGCTGTCATCGTCGTGATTTTTAGCGGACAGATACCAATAGAGAGGATCACAGGTCCCAGCGTTGACCTTCAGGTTCGAATCAACCATGATGAGGATGACAGACAGAGCTGCTTGGAGGTCGTTGGCGTTGAGGTATGTGGATATGAGCAGTTCATAGTGTTGCGAGGTAAACGTTGTACCTCGTTCGGTCAGGACGCGAAACACATCGGTAGCGAGCTGGATGTCTCCGTGTCGTGCGGCGAGAGTGAGTACGTGCAGGCAGGCGCCGGTGCCAGGCTTCAGATAGCCCGGCTGAACTTGCGCGATCCATACAAGGCTCGTCTCTGCGTACTTTATGGTGTCAGCAGTTTCCCATAATGCGTACAACACAAGCTCCACTTACAAGCTGCTTGTGCGCCGCGGCATCTAGCAACGCTCCCCAGAGAGCGATACTGAGCTGGACGGTACCGGTTCCGCTACTCTTGCTGTGCACGCCCTCCTTGAGACTCAGCACGTAGAATGCTTCCTCGACTTCGCCAAACTCCAGCAACATCCATATAGCCTTGTCAAACAACCAGCTCTCCACCCGTGCTTTGTTCCTGACCATCTCCTCCAGCAACTCGAGTGCGTGTTCGAAATGTCGCTCGCGCAGCATCCCGGCGATGATGAAGTTGCGCGCACGGTCGGATGGCATGAACCATCGCGACTTCATGTATTCGAGGATGTCGGTGCGGAGGAGGTAATCTGGGTGCACTGCGAGCACCTCAAGCACGCATTCACAGCCCCGCGCATCCAGCAAGATTCTTGGCTTTCCTGTCAGAGATCCATCGGTCTCGTCCCAGAAGCCCATCTCTTCCAACACCTTGCGGACCTTCCCCGCCGTGCCATTGACAGAGTCGACAAAGCTGTGTAATACGGCCGTGTACATCTCCCGGTTCGGCAGCTCCCCTCTGTCTTTGATCAACACCCTGCAGATGTTCATGACTTCGTCGAAGTTTCCCTTGGCGCCCTCGGCCCGCACATGTTCGTATAGGATGTAGGTCGGGAGCTGGGCGAGCGGAGGTCTATCTCGTGATGTGTGCGACGGGAGAGTGCGAGGCTTTTCTGCAAAGGACCGGAAGCCGTTCAGAGCGGCCCCAGGCTGCGAGAAGAAGGTGTCGTTTGCTGCGGAGGGTGCGCTGGAGCCGTGGTAGGTACGCAGTTGGCGGGCGCAGTGGGCTATGGCCTCTTTTCGCGATGCATTGCGCTGTAGCAGTCTAGCTCCTCCTCTTGCAACGCACGGTGTCGTTCCAGTATTCGACGGAAACCCCGGACACAGGCATCGCCACAGGCCGTCGTTCACGAAAGGGCGGGGTGGCATTGGCGTGGGTGATGTGCCTTGCCAAAGTTTCAATGCGCGCAGCGTAACATGATGCGTCCGTGCGCGCGCCTCGGTTCGACATGTCTACTTGCGACTTGTGCATCACCATGAGCGAAACATGGGTAAGAGCTTAGTTTGTAATTATATTCACATATGCACTTTCCAGATGCTTTTCCTATCCCGTGTCAAGCCGCAAAAAGGGTATATGCGCCCAAATACCAACACGTCTGATGCAAAGCCCATGCCCTTCCGTACCGTATTATATCGAAACAGCGTCAGGCGTTGCGTTTCTTCCCATCCCTAAATACCTAAAGTCCGTCGTAATCCGCACTAACACGTGCTCACCTCCTCACCACTTGCTCTGAAAGAAGTTCTAGTACCTGTAGAAGTTAGTCTGTGCTCACGACAAAAGAAATGTACGACATACCTTTGGTGATATCACTTCCTGGTTTACCAAGTGCTTGCTCATGATCTTGACAACCTCCATTTGCTCCTCGTAGGTGAGTCCGGTGATGGCTGCTTCAATCACCCCACCGACTGTGGTGTGGTGCACGGCGATGAAGCTTGAGTAGTAGAAGAAAGCAATGGAGCCCATGATGAACTGGCAGTCCATGCGGTCAGTCATGCCGCCGTGACCGGGAATAGAGTCGCCAAAGTCCTTGATCTTGAAGGTGCGCTTCAGACCAGAAGCGAAGAAGCCGCCGAAGGGCGCGATAAGAGACGCAAAGGTTCCGAGCATGATGACGTGGAACTGTACTGGCATGATGTTGAAAGTTCGCGGAATGGGGAGACCCTCTGGAAGGAATGGAACGGTGTAGTCGCGCGCGATGAAGACCGGGTTTGGCCTGCATTCGAGGCCGGACCAGATGTTTGCGCCCAGATCGTTGACAGGGCAGATGAAGTACTTGTAGTCGCCGAGGAAGTGGACAACGAGCATACCCCAGATAACAGTGAAGAACCAGGCGCCGAGGAAGCCCTCCCATGTCTTCTTGGGCGAGATCTGAATGAGGGGTGTCCGTCCAAACGTAATACCGCAAAGGTAAGCGAAGATGTCGTTGGTAATGACCATGGAGACGGGGAGAATGAACCAGATAAATCCCTCGAAGATGTTGTTGATGACAAAGTGCGCCTGTCCAACGATGAGGAAGAGGGCCATATGCGTCCAAGCAAACTGGGTGAACTGGAACTTGTAGTGGCCCTTCTGGAGCGAGAAGACGAAGAAGACGAAGCCTGGAGGAGTTAGCACAGCTACGAACCATGGGGTTTGTGGAAATACCAATAATGTAAAGCATGAAAGAGATGAACCGGTGGTGGGTAGCCAGGGGTAGCAGCAGACGGTCGACCATCAGGACGTGCTTGAAGTAGTATATGACACTCTCGCCATAAAGGAAGTACATGGCGGTGCCGAGGAAGTACCAATTCAGCGACTTGGTGAAGCGCAGGCTGCGGGCCTTGCTGGGCACATTTGCGATTGCGATGACCTCCTTAAAGGATATGACCTGGACTGCCGTGACGATGATGATTATGAAGAGATGACCCGCGCCGAGGGCCCAGAAGAAGCCGGCAATCATGACGAGGGTCCATGTTGTGCGCGTTATGAAGTTGGCCTTCTTCTTCTCGTACTCGGTCTGGGGGGGCTGTTCGGTGGCCTGGCGCTGTCAGCTGGGGAGACGTGGGCAGAGGGCTGCCAACGTACGGGAGGGGCCGTCTCTTCTTTGATAGTCGGACTGCCCGGGTCGCTGTACTCGGACATGCTCTGCGAGGGTCTCCGCGCCCTGCCGTTGCTGGCGCTGCGGACCTGGTGGTTGAACTTGACGTCCTTTCTCGGGCGCGCCATGGTGAAGGAGGAGAGGGCGGTTGCGCCTGGTATCCTGCAGCGGTATAGGGGCAGCCGGGGCGAGGCCGGAGGGGAAGGCGCGATGGATGAGGGCGGGGTGGGTGAAGGAGGTGGTGTTGGCGGCAGGCTCGACTGGGCCAAGTAGTGAAATTGACGGACAAGTAACCACGGGCAGCTTGCGTCATGGCACCGCCGCTTAGCTTAGCGACCCTGCAGCCTGCATGTGAATTTCCCTAGCACCCAAACACGCCAGCCGCCAACACGCCAACAACGCGTCCATGCGCCCCGCATCGCGACCGCTTTGGGACATGCTCACGCGCAGGCCCGCTGGCAGATGGACCGACAATGGCTGACGACGACTTCGACGACTTCTCCGACGATGACCTCGACGACCTCCCCGCCGACGCTCTGCAGCATCTCGAGGCGAGCGCCATCCGCGCGACACAGCACCAGCCCGACACTGAGCCAGAGTCGGACTACGGCCCCGACGATGGCGACGAGGTAGTCAATCTGGACGATGCGCATAGTCCGCCGCCTCTGTATGCGCTGGACGAGGAAGGCTATGACAGTCACATCGATGACAACATCAACGACATTATCGAACACTGCCACTACGACCAGATGGAAGTGGAAGAGCAGCCACGCAGGTCTCAGGCTGACCCCAATGCGCTGCTTCAACGCATCAAGAAGGTGCGACACGTCCACCTCAGTCTGTAGACGCCCCGCTGATCATCGCAGTTAGAGCAAGACAAGGCGCGCGAGAAGCGAGAAGCCGAGGAGCTGAAGGGGAAGCTGCAGACCAAGGCGGGCGAGGCCGATACCCTTCGAAGGCGCTACGATGCCGAAAATCGCAAACACGAGCGCCAGCTGGCGGACCAGCAGCAGTCGCACAGCACCGAACTGGCCAAGCTGCGTGCCGAGATGGAGAAGCTGCGGCGCGAGAAGGAGTCGGTGCAGACGGACAACATGTTCAATCAGCACGAGGCGCGAGAGTCTGTCATGGCGCGACGGCCTGGCAGAATTATGCCCTCACGACCAAAGTCAGGTGCGCAGGCAATCAGCCCAGCTGGCACACCTAAAAGGGGGCAGAAGACGAGAGGTCCACTGGGCGATGGCTTTGACGACGACGACGTTGTCATGGCATCACCGTCAAAGTACCGCGAGAGGCAGAAGACGGCGACGCCAAAGCAAGCCGGCAAGCGGAAGCGGCAGGCTATCGACCAGAGCCCCATACCACTGCCTGCGCTGCAGCTGAGCGAACCGCGAACTCGGCCCAGAGAGACAGAGCCAGCACCAGCCGTGGGTCCTGTCATAGACGCCGCACTGCTCGAGCACTTTCGACGCGACGACCGCCGATTCACCCTCCTGCACCGCCTGCTGTCACATCCATCATCAAATGGCACCGATCGCGTCCTCGAAGCACTTACGTCGCATGCCTTTCCGTCCAAGCCATCCAAGAAACTATCTTCGATCGTGTATGATGCTCTGGCCAAGATCAATACGTCCGATGTGCACGAGCTAGCACTACAGATATGTCACATCTTCCTCGACCTGTGGAAGCGATGTCAGTCAGAGAAGTACTATGCTCCGACATCTCTGATACTCGATGCGCTGCACTTCATCCTCGCATGCGAGCCGATCGAGACCGCTGTCAAGATCACCGAGCGCGTAGTGCCGCTCATCATAGCTTTTGTTGATCTCGTGGCGGACCCCATTTCGAAAGCAGCCAAAGGAGGTGAGAAGGCCGTTGCCGATCTCTACTCCCCGAAGCAGCGAGAGATTGCATCTCACATCGATGTTGAAGACTGTCTTGAGTTGCTGTACCTGATCGCGAGCAGCTGCGTGTCCTCAGTAGATTCCACAGCAATAGCTCGTCTATGGCAAGCGATTCCTTCGAGCTTCGCCATCATGCTCCTCGTCAAAGAGCAGCCACATGCCCAAATCACGCTCATGTTGCGCATACTTGGCACCTCTGCACTTTCCACCTCAATAGGGCCCATAACATTCGCAGACTCCGCCCAAGACAACCAAGCAAGTAACGAAGACGCCCTGGTCCATCGTCTCACCAACCTCTTCACCGAGCTGCCCAAGCCCGTCCCAGATCCTTTGGCGTCTTCCGATGAAGCTTCAGATACAGCTATCTCCGAAGCAGATCTCTGGGACCTTCGCCTGCTCGTCATCTCGGTCCTGACGCAGTTCTCTATCCCAGAATACGGCTCTAGTCGTCTAGCCCAGAACGGCCTCTGCATCGGCCGACTGATCAAGTACCTCGATCACTGCGTGACGAGTCTTTATCGACATCCCATCGCACCAACTCAAGACCGGAAGGTTGATTCCATCAACGCCACTATGAAGCTCATATACCACGTCGCTACAACCAATGCCGATTTCGACATCAAGAGTAAGCTGGTCAACACGCTAGGTGGCCATCATGCCTATCTCGTTGCACTGACGCGGTTGGCCTTCAGCGAGGGCTTAGTGCTAGAAGCAGGGATCGAAGATGAGGTTGTGAATATGGCGCACGACATCTTAGACGAGGGGCTGAGTATGGAAGAGGGAGATGCTTTCGGCAAGGTGTTCAGCAGTGGAAGCACTGCCTAGTTATGTTCAGTATTCTCTCAAGAAGGAGATCATCAGCGCAAGCAGCTTGGGCGATGGCTCTGATTTCAACTTGCACATTTTCTCGTAAGATAACCCCACTTCTGAGCTCAAGGACGATACCACTTTAATTCCGCGCTCATCCACAATCATGTAGAATAAGACACGGATATCAACATCTTGTATTATCACTGGTTCGGCCTGCATTGCTATGCATTGCTATGGCTTGCGATGATATTGCATTGGGCGGCGTTTATAGCATATCAATCACACACTCTTACACAGTCAACACCTATCCATCTCTAGGTGCCACCCGTCCCCCAATCCACCCCAAAACCCTCTCCAAAACCTCCTCCCCACACTCATCATTCAACAACTCATGCCTCCCGCCCTCAACCACCTCAAAATCCTTCCGCAAACTCCCTATCCCATCCACAAACCTCTCACTCCCCCTCCAATCACAATACGCATCCTCGTCCCCATGCACCACCAACGTCGCCACTCTCCACTCTGCCAGCTTCGCTCTAACACTGTCTGCGACATCCACGGCTGTCGCAGCCGTTAAAAAACATATCGGTTTCTTGGAATACAGGGGATCGGACAGATATTTCTCGATTTCTGATTGGCGGCGTGTGAGGCTGGAGATGGGGACGGAGCGGCCTGGGATGGAGACTGTGGGTATGGTGCGTGCTAAGACGCCGATGGCTAGGCGAGCGAAGGGGGGGAAGGGGCCGGGGAGGGCGGGACTGGTTAGGACTACTCCATTAACTCCCTCTGGATTCTCTATCACACTCCCCGCCGTAATCAATCCACCGAGTGAATGCCCAAATAACACGACCGGTCTTCCCCCTCCTTGTTCAACAGCATAACGCCGTAGTGCGAGGTGGTCGGCTACGGCTTTTCCTACGTGGACGACGGCGCGGGGGTGGCCGGGGGAGGTGCCGTGGCCGTGGAGGTCGAGCGCGTAGATTGTGTAGGAAGCGGCGAGGAGGTGGGTGATTAGCGTGGAGTGGGAGGTTAGGTAGCGGAGGGAGTATTCTGCGTAGCCGTGTTGGAGGACGATTGTTGCGACGGAGGGGGAGGTGGGCGTCCAGATGTGGAAGGTTGTGCCGGAGGGGAGGGTGTGGGTTTTGTGGTTGAGGTTGAGGTTGGGGTCCGGGGAGGGGATCGAGTTTGTAGAATTCGTGTCGTGAGTTGCTGGAGCAGTGGATGGTGGGTCTGGTCGTCTTCGATACAGTGATGGGACGTTCAACATCTTGAAACTTTGAAGCGATGTGAGCGGGTTTTGGACAGTAGTGCTGTCCTGGTAAGAATCAAGCGTTTCCAAGATTTGCTTGCTTGATCAACCTGACGGCTCGCCCTCGAAGTTTGAACAAGCTGTGTCAAAGTTGGAAGAAACTCAATGTTTCGGTCTGAGGAGAGCGCTTCTTGAGTTCTCAGGTCATTTTGTATTGATCATACCACAATTGTTTCCTGGTGCTGTGGCGGTGGGTATCAGTATTCGCAGGCAACCGCGTTGGGTCAGGGGATGCTCACGACATGACGACAGTGTCCGCGTAGGTTGCTAAGGACTGCAAAGATTGTTTCGCAGACCGCATTGCTTCACACCCGGCTCGAGAGTCCATTCGCATTGATTGGGAAAGAATGCCTTGCTGATTCAGGGACATGTATACGATGAGATGCCCACGTGGAAGGCGCGCGTCGTTGATTGGGCCTAGTGCGGGGAGACACGCGCAGCGCGCATCCGAGAACTTGTCCCCAGCCGTCCCGAGGTCGTTTCTTGCGCCTTCCTCCATTCCCATCTCAACTACGAACATCGAGACCTGGTCTACCAGATCGCAATCTGAGATTTGCCTTTCTTCTCCGTCGTAACACTCCCGATGTGCTGCCGGCTCACCTTTTCCACCGATTCCTTTGGCATCCCTACCTGAGCATAGGCTTCTTCTCCGGTATGAATATCCCCGATCTGCTGTTCTAACTTGACCGCTTGAAGATGAGCCGTCGTAGCCTTGCAGCGTTGTATGAATTTCTCCAGAGCAGTATCGCCCGCTTTTAACTCTTGTTGTACGTACTCTGCCTCGTCTTCGTCGGATTCGGCGATTGCAACCAAACGCGGCGGCACGTCATTGCGCCTTGCATCGGCCTCCACTGCCCACGATACCATTGCTTCCTTCAGCTGGTTTATCGAGGCAGCCTGCTGTTCCGGCGATCGGTTCGACACATTGATTTTTCTACCAGAGATATCAGCTTCCATCATGGTTTTGGATGCGATAGGAACTTACAGCGTCAAAATGCCTACCGCCGAGTCGAGGTCTCTTGCCGCTGACCATAACACCCCTTTGTACTTTTGTATCCTAGACTGGTTCAAGGCTACTCGGATTTTATCTCGCCAGCTCTTGTCATCGTGTTTGATCCACTTCACCACCAGCTTCTCGAACTCGTCGCATTGCGTCCCACAGTCGTTGATCACCTTCGCAATGCCGGTCTCTTTGACTTCATCGACCGTTCTAGCGTCGGCTTTGGATAAGAACTCTAAGCTTGAAAGTTTGGCATGTAAGTCTTTTACATCGACGCGAATAAGTGCAATTTCTTCGGGGGCATCGTCGATTGCTCGGAGAAAGTCGTAGAGGCCTTTGATGCTCTTAATAGCAACATCAGTGATGCCAATGATGGCGGCTGCTTCTCCGATAACAGACATACTCTGAGGGACTGTACGGTTTGTATTTGAGAAGTTGAAACTGCTCCGCCAGAGGGCGGCGCATATCTTATACCAAGTCATGTACCGCCCTCCCGTACGCAGATCAGTGCGGCGCAATTGAAGCTCTCCGTAACGCCGTGGCAACAGAGATGAGCTGAATGTCTGCCTCGCACAATGGTGAGGAGTGGTGTCCGGTGAACAGTCCCTTGGGCCTATTGGATCATTAGTTGTCGCTGCGATGCACACAGCCCCGCATGTGGCTGCATGTGGGCGTACGCTAACGCACCAACAGTCAGAGAACCATGAGAGCTGAGGCGAAGCCGCAGCTGTGGCTGCTTCTGGATGAATCTGAACACGTCACCTTGGTTAGCTCAAGCGGCTGACAGACAGGCTGAACACAGCGCTGCGCTGACTTTTGAACTTATGTTTGTCCGAGGACAATGGTCAAACGGTTTGCGATGGAAACATCTTCGTATTGAATAGCACTGATTCTTCTTCAACATAATGGCATTCCAACAGGAAGTCGGAAATGTCGTGACGAAGGAGCACGGCATCACGCAGATCGGGTCTAATATCCAGCTCAATCTTGGCGATTCTGGCAAGACAACCCATCACTCCTGCCATAGCTGTGGAAATTGACCGGCAGTAGGTGGCGAACGCGAAGCCATCCAGAGATGGTTCGCACCGTGGTTGTTCATGGAGTGGACCGAAGGAAGAAGCCAACCGAAAATTCTGAACAGCTTCGTTGGCGTACCAGGCTGCGGATCATGGCTTCTCGATGAAGTTATTCCAATATGGTTAGCGTCTTCTAAAGACAGTCTCTGGTTGACTGGTGAAGGTCAGTGTTAGTCCTGGTTTATGTCGTCGTACCGGATCCTTTTGTCGCGTTTCCTGTTGGACTCACTTCATCTGAAACGCTGTGGTGGTCACAATCCACCGATCTAGATGTTATGAAGGCACCCTGTAGATCATACCTCAAGAAGGCTTTCACTGACATCTCTCTAGTTGGATGTGGCAAAAGCATCCTGTGTGCTTTGGTCATACAACATTTGACCAGGGCTCGACGACATGACGACAGCAGACAGATAGTAGTTCCATTGATATTTTCCTACAACAACGACTACACGCATAACGTTACGTTCCTGACGTACACCATCCTGGCGTACTTGTGTTCAGCTGAGCCGATCCCTGAAGCCATAGTAAAAGCGCGAAAAGCCCATGTGTCGCCATCGGAAATTGCGGAGATCAATGATCTCATCATGAATGTACTGGTTTCTCTGGGAGAAACCAACGCAGCTGGCTCAACCGACTCAACGACATCTGTAGTTCTGGCTATCGATGCCCTGGATGAGATCCCGCTTGAGTCGCAGATCACGAACATGGAGCTCCTTAACAGATTGACGGCTGCAATCAAAACTGGTTGTGGATTGCGCGTGCGAGTAGCGCTTTTCACGCGCCACGATAATCGGTTGCAGCCGCTCTGTCACTCGCGATCAGGCTGGCATAGAACGGTTATACCTCGCTCTAGGGTTGATGAGGATATTAGGACTGCAGTAGGTGTGCGACTCGAAAAGGGCACAAGATTGATCAAAGCCGATAGAGAGAAGCTGGCCGATCGAGTTGTTGATAAGGCCGCAGGCATGTGAGTTAAAGCTGAGCATTCCTTCGTTAACATGTAAACAACTTACGTCGAACCTAGGTTCCGACTAGCCAGTCTTTACGTCGACGAGCTTGTCAAGTCTAGACGAAGGAGCTTCATGCCTTCTGAATTAGAACATCTCCTCAACGGACTCCCGACGGGCCTTTATCCTTTCTACGACCAGATCCTCGACCAAATACCAAGGGATCGCATGCAGGAAGTCGTTTTCAGAGCACTGCGTTGGATCATGTTCGCAGCTAGGTCATTCTGGGTTGAGGACCTGGTCGAAGCTTGTGCCATATATCCGCCTTCAGGAGAGCTGTTCGACGTTGAAACACGGCAACACCTTCCCTATCTCGATGTTATGGAATATCTGAGTGGTCTAGTGCGTATCCAGCCAATTCTCTCGGAAGACGAAGAGATGGTCATTGAACCCCGCACCCACACCATTGCGCTAGCACACTTCTCTGTCAGTGAATACCTGCAGCGTCTGGATACTGCTCATTACCGAATCGACACACACTTCTTCGAGCGACATTCTGCCAGTGAATACATGTCTCAAGCATGTCTCATCTACCTCGTGGAAACCTCAGAGCACTCACTAAGCAGTGCAATCCACACTACCATGAAAGAATACGCAGATCGAGCCTGGCCATCACATGTGGCCGCTTATCTCCAGTCATCGAATGATACTCCATACGGGAAGCAAGCCACGACCGCAGCACTAGCGTCGAAGATTCGTAACTCCGTCGAGTTCTCCAACCTGAGTATATATGATGACTCCGGTACTTTGCGAGAATGCGTGGCAAGCATTGCACACAGCTGTCTTGACCACCACCGCTATGAGAGGTTGTTCGATGCATTGTCAAGAATCTCTAAGGATCAAGAGTGTCTGTACCCGGGCTACAATGGCGCAGAGCCCTGCATTCAAACTTCCCGGAAATACCGGATGCGCTTATATTATCCCCTCGATCCCGGTTGCATAAGATTGCTCATTTTACACCCAGCAGCGAACCCTGGAGATCATGTTCGATGTTCGCTAATAGTGGACTATCTCGAAAATCGAGCAAGCTACGACTATCTATCATATGTCTGGGGAAGATCAGGGGCTGAGAGACTAATTCAAGTAAATCGTCAAGCTTTTCGGACAATGTTGAACCTATCGAATGCATTACCTGGGCTGAGAAACAAGGAGAATCCCATATTACTCTGGGTGGATGCCATATGTATCGATCAGAGCAGCGATGTTGAGCGAAACATTCAGGTGGCGCAGATGGGAGATGTCGTACGATACGCCAGTAACACACAAGTCTGGCTACCGGAAACATGCCGCAACGACAAACACCCAACGAAATGTCTGGAAAATCTATATTCCCAAGCATACTGGCACCGCCGCTGGATTCAACAAGAGCTTATATTGGCGCAAGATATTCGTATTCAGTGGGCGCAGGCTAGATTGACTTGGACAGATCTGATGCACCTTGTCCGAGAGCACGCGCGTAATCTCAATGAAACCCGTCCCGGCCACGAAACGCTTTCTGCGATCAGCTACTTCTCATTCATACAGGAGCTACGGGAGTCCTTGCGACTCAATAAACCCTTACCCAAACTGGAAGAGCTTCTGTACACGTTTCGCAATCACGTTTGCAGTATACCTTCGGACACACTATATTCCATACTACCCCTCCTGAGCATGGAAGAAACACGTGGCTTAGAAATCGACTATATTGCACCATTTCATGCTACAATGACATACTTGGCATATGACTTGTTAGAGCGTTCTCAAGGCTATCATGTCCTCTCCATGGTCAGCAACGGACGAATAGAGTCCGGGCTCATGATGCCTTCATGGGTGCCTACGTGGACTGATATCGAGGACCATCCACTAGCACCTGGTGATGCTATTACAAAGCAGCCTAAGCTGTATGGGGCCAGCGCGGCGATTCGGAGATACGTGGTGAACGGAGAAGCACTCTGCGTTGAAGGATGGCTCATTGGCAACATAGCTCACGTAGCCAAGATCCCCGACATCATGCGCAACAGCAGGATAATAGAGTTCGAACGAGAGTCACTAGTCCGCGTCGCGCTAGAGGACCGCTGTCGAGAAAACCAACTCTGCGCGTTTCAACGCATGACCAAACAATCGCGGGACTGGTTCACAGAGCTTCCGAACGCATCGCGGCTACTGTCTGAGCTCGAATCTCGGGGATCTAGGGCCAGAAGATGCTTTGCAAAGACAGATTCAAAATTGTTGGCGAACGTGCCAGCGCACACAGCGGTAGGAGATGTCATTGCAATCTTCCATGGTGGCGAGGTTCCCTATGTGCTGCGGCCTGATGATGGGTTCACTTTGATTGGAGAATGGTAGGTCTCGTGCTGTCATGGATTGAGCACCTTGTTTCCATTTTGCAGTTGACAGTCTGCTGACATGTGCAACAGCTATGTCGATGGCTACATGGACGGCCAGGCTACGCGTAAACGGACGAACGACAACCCCGATATCACATTTTGGATACATTAGACTTGGTGACAACACGGCCTGGTGACGCCGAGCTGGGGATGTAATAATAGTCCGAGGTCTTACCTAGGTACCCAGGGCACCTACTATATCGGCATCGAATGTTTTAGGGGGTATGGAAAGCCGATAGTAAGATCTCTTCCGAAGCGAGCTGTCCACGGGTGTTCTGCACTCAGATCGCACAGTATTCATCTTGTGTTGCTTTCGCACTGTCTAGTCAACACCATTTCATGTAAAGACTTTTCTGACGGCACTGTGATATAGTTCTGGAAGGGCGTACCTAGGTAGGTAATTCCCAACGTTGGGCAGGGGCACGATGTCAGCTTTAGGCATACCTAGGTAGTCTGCGGGGTGTGCCGAGGTTGGTGTCTGACACCTTTGGGCTGCCGCATCTCGGTTGCGTCGCGTCGTCGCTCAACACACACAAATCGCCCACCTTATGCACCTGACTGCGATGCCCAAATACATGGACGTAAGGTCTGTTTCCGTAGCGTATCACGCTTTGCGTTGCCTCGCCAACAGGGATCATAGAAGTGCGGTATGGCGAGCTGTGATATGTGTATGCGCGACCCTCCCGCGTGGCTGCGCAAGGCCTAGTACACGGAGGTATGTAGGAAGCGGCCTCAGCCTTCAGCCTTTCGTACTCTTCGTCATCAACTCACCCTAGCCTGACGTGTTTGTCCCTTCCGATCTACAGATGAGCAGACCGAGACCCGCACGCCCAAAACCCTGCCGGTATTCTTTAGGAACACAGTACGTCGCAATCGAAATATCCTTCGGCGTGTCTTTGGTCGAAACCGCGGATGATGTCTTCCGATAACCCTCACGTCATGGACATATCGAATCCAGGGGATGGACTCACTCTGATCTACCCTTATGTCAAGCGTTATATTCACGTACCGCTGCAGACGCCTGATTCGATTCGCGTTCTCGAACTTCTACCAGGTACGCCTGACTCAGCCTTGTTGTGTCGAATATTCGCGATACCTCGAACGCATGCCGATATTGAATTTGAGGCTATCTCATATGTTTGGGGCAGCTCTGTTCCCGCATGCTATCTATGCGAGGTGGAAAGCAATAGCTGGTTGCGCATCACCAGGAACTTATATCTTGCGCTTAAGGCGCTACGCTACGCGGACCGGAACAGGATCATCTGGGCAGACGCCATCTGCATCAACCAGTCGGACAACGATGAAAAAAGCCACCAAGTCGGCAACATGGGCTCCATCTACGAGACGGCCAGCATGGTCGTCGTTTGGCTGGGTAATGTAGACTTCAGCGAATCTTTCAAGTCATTGGAAAGACCTCCGAGAGCATCAGATAGCGATATAACTATTGCTAAGGTCGAGCCTAACGGCCTTCTCGATAATGTTATGGTAGCTGTTCTCAGGATTGTTGGAACGCAATGGTTTACTAGATTATGGATCATACAGGAGTTCGTCCTTGCTCGAGATGTACAGATCTGGGCCGGTGACCAACATATCAATTACAAAACATTGGAGAGTGCCATGGCAAAGCGCAGAGATGAATACTTGCGGTTGAGCATGGGTCTACTCAAAGGTCCTCCACGGGAGCATTCAGGATCATTTCTGGGCGCCCTCGAGAACTACGTCCTAGCAGAGAATCTCATCGGATTTCGTACCATGTGGCGCGACCAGTCACATCCTAGCTCAGGACGTATATCACTGTACGACTGTTGTCGAATTTTCCACCAGCACCCCCCTAAATGTACGGACGAGCGAGATTTGATATATGCTCTCATTGGGCTGGCCAAACATCCAACCATGGTCGTCCCCGACTACAGCCTCACCGTTACAAACGTTTTTCTGGAATTTACATGGCTGGAAATCGCAAATGGAAATATAGACATACTGCGTGACGCAGAGTTCCTGGGAAACGGCGACCTATACCCATCGTTTCTCTATCGACCAGGTCAGAGCTCTAGACCTACAGGAGGTCACTCAACTCCGAAGGGTGCTGGCGCAAGTCGAGCGGCCGTTGCTGAAGCAATTAGACCTGCATCTATTCAGATCCGAGGTGTAATTGTAGATCGGATCAGTGGTTGTTGGAAGCTACTACGTGCGTCAGGCTTCGAGACGGAAGACCTGACAAGAATTATGCGTGGCACAACTTGGAGCTTAGAAGATTTCCTCCTTTCCGCTGAGGTTGTGTCATCCTCTGATGAACGTTTTGCAAGTCCAACAAACCGGTTCTACACTTTCGATACTAAGAAGCCAGCCCAAATTGAGGCAAGAAACCTACTGGATGTCTATCGATACACTCAGTTATGTGCTGAGCAAATCATTGGCCGAAACCAGATGAGAAAAGAGATGATTCCTGACAGAATTCGAGACCGATTTTGGCGGATGATTACGTTGCACAGGCATCATGCGCCATCAGATATTCCAAAGGATTTTCGCCATGTACCGCGGGATTATATCGATGATCCTTCATATTCTCATCTATTCACCACCGTTAAAGGGTATATTGGCAAGGCGTCAAGAAACGCCAAGGTTGATGACCTAGTGGTTATCTTTGACGGAGGCGACGTGCCATTCGTGCTGCGAAAGGCATATGGTGACATTGATGGACAATGGAAGTTAGTCGGGGAATGTCATGTGGATGGCTGGATGGACGGCAGCTACTATGGTCACGAAGTGTTGGACGATGTCGACCAATACCTTGCAGCAGCTGACGCGGAAACCAGCACGGACTTCTCGTATCCGAAAGAAACACTGCTCAGCGAGTATTTCGTACTCTGCTGAGACAAATGAAAATCTTGACCCGATACAAAGTGTACAAGTGCGAGTTCCGCCCATCTTCAATATCATTTCACTGTCAGTCGCGAACGCATACATTCTCAGGTATGAGCAGGGTTAACAGTGATATCTCTCTCGAAGCGAGCCAATGCACTTACTTCGCACAGCATTTATTGCAACCTGCCTTCTACCCGTCCAATCAAACACTCCATCACATTGCGGCTTGTACTTCCGCGGACCATCCTGTACGTCGGTAAGGATCACGGTCCGCGGCAAAGCCCTGTTGTCCCCCACTATCCGTCCCGCATAGCCTTTTCCTTCACCTTCATACCCCACCACCCATTGACTGTACTCATTGAACATGCAGTGCACGGCGTCGTGCATGTGCGTGCGGCTTGGTTGTTTATCATCACGCTTGCTTGGTTTGGCTTTACCCCACACGGTTATAAGATAACATGCCCACTCTCACTCACGCTTTGCAGTATCGACAGCAATCACGTCCCCGACATCGATACCAGATGATTCCATCCAAGAACGGCAACATAGTCGCTACCAGCTCGCCTACCGGCTCTGTGGTAGATGAGCGCTACGAAGCGTTCGATGGAGCACAAGATCGCGAGCGCTTATCGTGGGAGAAGCAGGCGGTTGTCGATCTAAAGCCTTCACTACATCGCGATACGTATGGACGCACTGCACAGATATTATGAAAGACGTACTGACTGTATACAGATACATTGGAGCGCTTTTGTTTAACACCTGCGCCTTCATCTTGCCAGCTCTCTATAGCACCTTGTCGAAGCTATGGGTTGCGAACATCGATTCATCCATGGTAGTCACTACAGACACGTACACATACATCGGCGTTGTCGCAGAAGTCTTGAACGAAGGTCTACCGCGTGCTTCCTACCTCGTCATCGGCGACAAGTCCAGTCGTGGTTTCCGTGAGCGCTTGCAGCTCACTCACACTCTTATCCTCTTCCAATCACTCCTCGGGCTTATCATGAGTATCGGATTCGTCGCAGGCGCCTCTACTTTCGCGCAAGGTTTTGTTCCAGTCGAGGTTAGAGATGTGAGCGTCACGTATATTCGCATCTCTGCGTTCTCTGCATTCAGTTCGGCAGTAGAGTATGCGATTTCAACGTCAACTCGCGCGCTGGATAAGCCTGATGTCCCACTTGTTATCAGTTCCGTTAAGTTCGCTGTCAATATCGTTCTCGACTTGATCATCATCTCGACGTTTCACTGACTCACATCGCTGTGTGCGCGAAGTCGTACCCTGGAACCGTCACCTCCATCCCATGGTACACTTGATGACCCATCGCAACGAGCGACTCACAACTTCCGAAATCCATATGCACCCATACAATCAGGTCCTCTCGAAAAAGAGAAGTATCGTCAACACAAGAGCTTCGACGTTTCACGGCGGCAGCATCACACCCACAGTGAACATGCAGGCTGGTATTTCACTTGCTTGTAACCTGACTTCTGCCTTTGCGGGGCTGGCATACTTTGTCTACACAACGAGTGTTAGTCCCAAGTCGCCGGTCCATGGCGACACATCCAGCCGCGGTATAGCCCCTTCCGTACCAGCTCTCGTCACACTCGCGAAGCCGGGTGCGATCTTCTTCTCAGAATCTGCCATCCGAAACGCACTATACCTGTGGTTAGTCCATGGCATCGTCGGACTAGGTAGCGACTACGCAACTGCTTGGGGTGTCTTCTCAACCATCCGATGGGGGCTGATAATGGTACCCGTCATGGCACTCGAGGCGACCACACTGACTTTCGTGGGGCACTCATGGGGAGCATTGCGCTCCACTATCGTGGGAATTTCACCGGCTGCGAAGCTCCAAATTACACGCCGACAATTGTGGGGCGTGGTACGCTGGGCACTCTACTCTGTCATCATAGTCTTGATGGTGGAGATCCCACTCTGTCTCATCATGTCCTTCGCCGGTGCTAAGCCTTTCGCACGGTACCTCTCAGGATCCGAAGAGGTCTCGTATATAGCGGCGCGCATGTGGCGCACCATTGACTGGTGCTACATCATGTATGGTGTGTCGACACAACTAGCTGCGATTCTGGTATCGACGCGCCCAACATGGTATCTCTACCAGTCTCTCGCATCGAACATTCTCTACGTCTTACCATGGGCGATTGCGTGTCAAGTGGTTGACCTGAATGCTGGAGATGCTTGGACATACCACAGCTTGGTATTTGGTGGAAGTCTGGTTTTCTCGTTCTTCACGATCATTGTGGTTGACGGAGTTTGGGGGTTCAGGCTCATGAAGGGAAAGATGGATGTAAACAGGGCGTAGTTACGGAGAGAACATGGGACATTGTAGTCGGATACAGGATAGAAATAGCTCATAAAAGAATGCGACTCTACATGTTTCCACATGCACCAATGTATCTCTCTTATCAAAATAAGAACGCCATCAGCCCTTCCACACTGCGGGCGTCGGCTCTTTATACAAACTCAGATCGTTCGGCGTAGGAAACCAGATACTTGGGTCATCCTCAGCATACGCATTCGGGAACCTGACCATTGGCCCGGGACTCCCATTGCCACCCCCGACAATGTCCAAATGCGCACAGTTTACAAACCATTGACTTTGTCCAAGAGTCATGGACGGCATGAAGTGCTCGATGCGCAGAAGGTATTGGCCCGAGGGCGTGGCAGCAGGAATAGTGAAGTTGATAGCGAGTGTATCCATAGTCGACCACGTAGTCTTGTCCGTCGGCCCTGCGTATGCGATCTTGAAGAAATCTCCCTTCCCGTCGTATTCCATCAGACTCTTTGTTCCATCCGGCAGTTTAGAAAGAAACACTTGCCCAGGCCCTTCGTGGAAGATGTATCCTTGGACATCACCTTCGTAGTAGGGTCCAGACACCATGAGTCCAACATCGCTCCCAGCAACAATGGTCGCTGTCTGTATAGTATCGGCGTTGTGTACGGGGAAGGAGCCGCGGCCGCATGTGACGTTCGCGTTTTCGGGCCCGTAGATGGGAAAGGTCTTGAGCCAGAGGTCATTGTAGGTACCGGCGTTGCCAGAGACGTCGCGGACGTATTGGAACTCTCGAGAGATGGTGTTGTTCACTATGAGGCGGTTGAATACATCTAAAAGGATCGTTAACAACTAGTCCGGAAGACAGAGATGAAAGTACAAACAATGGGCGCTAGCCTGCTGCGCAAAGGCCGTTGCTAGCCATGGAAGGACGACGGACTTCATGACTGCTGCTGCTTTCCAACTAATAATTTTGCTGAAACTTAGCCATCTCAGCCTGTCTTATACCACCGCTCAGTCTGAGCCCGACCATCACCGATCCTGCCTTGACGAGGGCTCTGCTGGAAGCACAGCGCTCGAGATGAGAGTCCTCATGACCATGCTACTACATGCGCAAATCCTTCTTGCTGATGGTGCAGCTGTCTAGTGCCAATGGCATCGGTTCGGTTGCTGCCGATAGTACCTGGTCCCGATGTGGTAGTTTTTAGATGAACTCCAGATTGCCGGATGGGCTATGTCGACCCAAGCCCAAGCGGGGTAGGCGGCATCTCTAGAGTACTCATATAGTGGATATGGGTAGTACAATTCGTACTGGACATGTTTCAGTCCGGGTAACAAGGTGCAGCGTGCCGGGTAGAATGAGATCGGACGTGCTGTTCTGGGTACCTGGGTTTAGGTGAAAGCGTTGGCGGCAGCCATGCCGTTGCGCGCAAAGCTTGTTTGTACTGCGAGTGAGTTCCTTCGTAGCGGTACGATGACTTGATACTTTGCTTTGTAAATTTTGTCGAGGTTGCAGTCAGACGCTGCAGGCGGGGAAAGCAGTCTAGAAGGGACGCGTCGCGTACGCGTGAAGATGACGCTCAAGAGCGTGTCGCATCCTTCCCCTCGCGTCAAGCATATGCATTAGTAGCCTTCGAAACACTGGACCTAACAAACAGATTGGCGCTTGCATGTCAAAGGAATCGTCGTCACAACTCGAGTGCGATGAGCATCTGCATGCGCAGGAACGATGACAGCATCAAGGTCAAACTTGGACCCCTGACTAAGCTTCGGAACCAGCCCCACAAAGCATGACACGCGTTCCGCAGCGGCGACGATGAACAACAAACTCATCATATTCGCCATCACAGAAAGCATTAGCGCGCATTTCTTCTACGCGTATTTGCACATATATAACGATCCTGATGTCTTACTCCAATGACAATGGCACAGCAATCCCCGCTCCTCCTCCTACCGGGTGAATTGAAGAACCAAATTATTGATTACATCCTCACCCGCGACCCCGGCACCGCACCACCTCCGCTACAACATTCTCCATTATCACTATCTTCAACATGCCGCCAGTTACATGAAGAATACCACACCCTCGCCTGGACCGCAACGATCTTCACCCTTCCATGGTCATCAGCAGAAGACCTCATACGAAAAACCAGTCTACTACCCTCAACATCCGTATCCCGCATCACAAAACTTCAAATTAGACTACCATCAGATCTCACCTCACTCTACACCCCAGACATAAACCGCCGCCGCGTAAAACCCTTCAACTTCGCCCGCGCCGGCCTCACCAACCTCGAAGAACTCTACATCCGGTACCGACCCGAGCACACAGAAAAAGGCATCGGCGGACCCGGCCGCGAACTAATCGTGCAGATCCTCTGGCGCATCATGTGGGAAAGAGATATCAAGCGACTACGGAAAATTTGCATCGTGCACGATGGGGCGCAGCCGTTCCTTTCGCTTTCCCTGCTGTATAACATGTTGCAGAACTTTACACCGCTGCAGGTGTCGAAAAGGTGGAAGGTGCGATCGGATCTTGAGCATGGAAGACTGAGATTTGAGGAGTGGGGTGGTGGGGAGAAGGGGAGGGGCGTGGATGTTGTTGTTGGGTTTAGCTTTTGGGAGGCGGAGGCTTATGTGGAGGTTTGTGAGATGGTTCTTGAGGTATGTTTGATTCGTCTCTTGGGTCGGAGGGGGTGCTGTCAGGAGGAGATTGGGGTTCTAGGCAATATTCAGAACCGGCAGATGCTGACTTCAGGCCAGGAGAATCATGCTCAGGTCATTCTGGCTCGGCGAGCCGAGTGTTTGTACGTCACTCCGCTGCGAGATATGAATGACGACGCTTTGAGGCGAGAGGTCGATAATCTCAACACCTTGTTTCCTGTGTTAGGAGACGAGGAACATGTTCTTCAACCACACGTGGAGCGTATACGTGCCACGTGTGCGGTAAGTAACCGAGGATGAGAAGAGACGACGCAAAGCTACTCTGATTCGCACGCGAAGGCCGTCGTGGCTAATAGCCATGCTGGTTACTGATATGCTGATCACCGAAGACGTCCCAGTCACCTGACTACGTTCCCGTAGCTCGATCAGAAGGAGCACTACTCCGCCATCTTCCGAGGAGGAAGGCTTTGCGCGCACGCCGACGGCTGGGTTGAACACTAGGGGCCGCTATGCATTGCCGATTGCACCCAGACCCTCAAACACCTTTCTTCGTTCCAAGATCGGCTGGCACATCCACGCGTCGCTTTCAGGCCATGGCGGAAATCCATGTCGCCACCACTCTCAGAGCCGGGTGGTGATAACAACGTGGTATCTTAACCGTCCCTCAGAACCTCCTCGACCGGCTGAATACCGTATTCGCTTTTCGAAGCGAAGGAGTGTGGAGTAGGTCCCAGAACCAAGCCCACGGCGTCAGCATGCCAGGTGGGATACGCGTCCATGGTGGACCGGGTGGCATCCGTTCACACCAACGTTGCTTTTCAATAGTGGAAGTACGCCGGTCACCTTGTTCGAGCTAGTGCTGAGTGGAAATACTGTACGTGGGGAGCGCTTGCGGCGGGAAGGAAGGGTCGGGACGACACGGGAAGGATTGAGATCTTCAAGACGGGTTGGTGTTGAGAAGACAAGTGGCACCTTGCGATGTGTGTCCCAGCAGGGAAAGACGGCCGGGAGGGAGCTGACCAACCTTCGTCTGCGATCCATCCTCACTACTCGGGTGAAGCTTTACCCTTGCCATGTTCGCAGAAGGAGTCTTTGGTAAGGTCAGCCTTACCGGTCAACGCGGTCATGTCATCCAGGCCCTTGTTCCGCTGCTGGAAGTTGTCGATATCCGCCATTAGAGCATCATTCACGGGTCACTCGATCGAAGAGTACATTTCGCGTGCCATTTGATAGGCTCGGTACCTTTTCTATTATCGTGGCTCGATCGCGATGAAGCACGAGGCGTGCACGGGAAGAGCGTCCACACTGTCCAGTCTGGATATCCGTTTCCGTATTCCATGGTTCGGCCCGATTGCGCTTAGGGATAGACTGAACTCTTACCAGACTCATGTCTCACATGATACACCCACCCTCATCATACTCGCTGCAAGTGGGGTCCGTTCCATGGCGGTGGATTCTCGGCCTGGGCATATCATCCTAGTCTCCCATGTGGCTGGTTCACTGGCTCTGGATGGATGGATGCGAGGCTCTATTGCCTGACGAAATGGTGGAGACGATAACTTGGCTTTCGATAGAGTGACACGCTGAAAGCTGATATGGACAAAGAATGGCCATGCACTTCGACTGGAGGTTTCCCAGCTGCGAACTCAGTGTCCGTGTCGTAACCGAGAAGGCCTGCGAGACTAGGCAACGGCAGGAGTGCATTTGGGTATAGCATCAGCCAATAAAATAGACAAACAAGCATCGGAACAGTAAGAAACTGTAGACATTGTCGGGATAATCATGACCAGGGAAGCACGCCACAGGACGGATGTAGGTGGTGTTGGTCATCCGAGACCTGTAAATCGATAAAAAGCAAGGGTATTCCGCGTGTAATCTAACCTTCATGCGCTCCGGTAGTGCTTGCGCCGTAGATTCTGCGGTACATGGTCATCGGAGGAACGGGTGTGTGTCCCGGAAGGCCTCGAATACGACCAACCACTACCGGGCTGGTGGTTGCAGAACCCAGTACTCCGGTAGCATATGCTATACGCCAGGTTTTGGATCAGGAAGACACCATGGGAAACCTGAGTCCCATTTTGCCAAGCCTTCGAGTGATCATCGTTCCTGCATCCAGGCAACACGCCTGATCCCACACGATGATGACACGAACGATGAAGGATCACGGTACCTACGATTGGACTTGACGCTATCGATAAGCAGCAAGCTACCAGGTGGGCGCGGCGCCTTTTTCTTGAATCATTCAAGAGGCTGACTGTAGGTCAATCTGGTGGTGTGGGACTCGTAGAATTGACGTTCGAAGAAGACCTAGATACGATGCCGCAGGCCGCTACATTCGCATCGGTACAGCCCGCTAGAGGTGGGCTTCGGCCGCAGGATCTGCCGAGCTAACCATATGCGCCCTCCATGGGTGAGCCGTGCATGCGTCTGACAAGCGCTGTGGCGCCATGGTCGCTGTTTTCTCGCAAAGGGCGTGCCGTCACGCGCAAGTGATGGGACGGTCCGTCGATGTGTAGAGACCATGTTTCCGCAGCGGGCCGACACTGTTCTGAGATTAGGAAAGAAATCAGCTGTAGGAGATGCGCATCCAATCCACCAGCTCGCAGCTCTTCATAGATGTTACGATATTTAGAGAATTACCATACGACCCATTCGCTCCGAGAGCAAGGTTCGCAGTGTAGGTGTTCGAAGTAGCCGATAAGCCACTGCTGAAAGCGCGCGAAATCCTGAATCGCTGCTCCAGACCTGTCCCCTGCGTCGTCCAATGGATGCAGGGCCCACTCACTCATACAGTATCTTTCTGAATGCAACGCAGCATCATGTACCGGGTTCACCCTCACGCTGACCTTCTTCACACGTGCGAATCGAACGCCAGGTTCAGGCACAATGCATGATGGCCATGAGGTGTGTATGCTCGAAGACGCATGCGCGCTGTGGTACCTTGCCTTGAGGGTTCTGAAGGAACTGCCACCTATCGGTAGGTTATGCGAGTAAGCAATGGAAGGATGACAGTGGGGTGTTCTCGCCACGAATGCAGGGTGGCAAGAAGGCTGTGAACTCCGACGAAAACGAACACCATGACTACAACACTCGGTCGTTGTCATATGATCAACGCTCGTGTGACCTCGGCTGCAAGGTTGAAGATCATACTAGACATGCCTTGGTTCTGATAAGACCAGGGTGGCGGAGGCAGTATGATTTCACGTGGGAATAGTGGGCAGTAGCGTTGTCATAGTAGGCTTGCTATAAGGCACAAGTTTGCTTTGGCTCACTGAGGCGGTGGTGAGCGAAGGTGTAAGAACCAATACCATGCGAAGGATGACTTTAGCCGTTTGAGCCGCTCAAACGGCAGGAGTAGGCGACTACACGTCGGAGCGCGGCGGGTTGGCTATCTTGCTTGGAGCAGTGCATATGCAGGAACCCCGAGGAGACTGCAGCAGCACGCCTTTTGACGAATGCGGAGTTTTCGAACAGAGTTCTGATGTACCGTCGCTGCATCGCATAGCCGTATTATCAATGGAGACGTTGGTCAGACGTGGGAGAGGCGGACTTTAGTATGGAAACCTTGTTCGTAGGCTTCGGGAGTCATCCACTGTTTGGAGTGCAAAGATCTTTGAGAGCCGCATAGCACAAAGGGAGAAGTTTGGTTGAAAATGTCGAACGCTGTGAACAGGAGCGCCGTGTATTGCGTAGTCTAAATATAACAGGTGCCAATGTACCTTAGATGCGCGTCGCCAAGCGGGCTCAGCCGAGAACCGCCAGTACCGCTACGATATCAAAGAAGCTTCACAGATTGGCGGACGACTTGTTGCAAAATTGAAGTCATGAACGGACGTTGCCGAAGTGGCAACGTTCAGGTCGGGGACAACATGTTCGTAGAAGGTCCAGTCAGGATGATATGGACTCGATCTATCTCTGAACTGGTACTGGAATGGGGAAGCGATTCCGGCAGCGTGTGATACTGGCTCAACTAGGGTTTGTTGGGATGCGTCTAAGAAATCAGACAAACCCCAGGGTGTCTGCGCGATTGAAATTTCGGTTGTGACGTGTGGCGCAGCCCAAGTTTGTGGTAGAACATCATTGACATTGAAGTCAAACCCACATTCGATAGGCATCGATACTTCATCGGACCATAATCGTGGATACAAGCAGAGATCAGCCTCGTGCACCACGGATACGGGCTGATAAGGATGTGTCGGGCTTGGTGTTTGCGGTGACATAGTGCCCAGGTTAAGGTAGCTGTTTGCACTCACAGACTGAGTGAAGAAATCCGGATCCTGTTCAGAAGTATCTATATAAGCGTAACTGCCGTTGAGGGTTTGCGAATCTCTTGGTGAAAGCGGAGTGAGCATTGGATAGCCAGAAAGCCCTGGGTTTTGACGGCTGGCTTTCGCGGTGGCTTCGGTATCGATGTATGTTGCGGCGTATGAGCCTCGAAATTCTTGAGAATGCAAGCTCGTCGAGGGAATATGTGAATCGAGGCGTGATATCACACTGGCCGAGAATTGCCTTTTCGGTGGTCTAGATGGTTTCTTGACGCTTGATCGGTGGTTGCTATCTGAAGTACGGCGAGTGGATCTTGGTTCGCATACGATACCCTTGGTGATACACCGAGAGCATGAAGGTAGCTATGTAGTGTCAGCGCAGGAACTTGGACTATACAAGATGTGCCTTGGTACATACAGCTTTGTTACACTTCGTCTTTGCCTTAGCGCATGTCACGCACGCGATTGCTCTTTTCGATGGCATTCTAGCATATGGGTTGTGCTGAACTGCTTGCGTAGTAAAGTGATCCGACAGGTCTCGTGGAGTATGAATGGTCGTCTCATCCATTGCGATCGTATGTTTGGCTTAACAAGTGATACGAATCAATGCGTGTTGTTCCAAGCTGGCTGTAGAACCACCGTGTCTTGAGAGTCGACTGCAGTCAGGCAATGACCGTTGCATCAGATAATGTCGAGCCTCTCTGGACAAAAGCGAGTGCTTGCTCGAAGTGTTAGGGATTGAGCTGTGATATACTCGTCTATTCCGAGCAGACTTGAGCTTGACCAGAACCGATAGTTCCGTCCAACGGCTGATCATATACGGCATCAAGCTTGCATGATGCTAAGTTTAGGGCCGAGATACATGTCTTCCGTGTAGGGCCCTACATAGCAAGGTATTGTTCTAGCACCGATGAGGCGCCTTCGCAGGGCTGGAAGCCAAGTCAAGGCATCGTGTATGAGCTGACGAAATGCCGCTGCTGAGGATAGTTAGCATGGTACGCCACCATGCCCGTATGCTGAATGCACGTTCATGGTAGAATGCGCCTGAGCGCGTGGATGATGACAAGGGGTGTCATGCGCGCTGACAGGACCCGCGCTGGTGGAATTCGGTATGTCCATGATGACAGGTCGCACACGAATCGTGGTGTGGCTGAAGCCTCACCAGTGCCATTGCTTGGCTGGTTGCGTACCTCAGTTCGAGCGACATGCAAGTGCGACTTGACGTCTTAAGGTTCCAAGTAGATTTGGTTTGCAGAGACGAGCTCTAGGTGTCAGCAGAAGAAGTTTCTGTATACCATTGAATGCTTTCGGTAGAGTATCAAGGATTTCGTTGATGACATGATCATCCAGATACCACGGGGTCTTGATGGGGTCTGCACCCAGAGGGTGGTTCCAGACCGGGTCCGGGTCACCGGTGATGAGGCGCTGTAGTCCCTGGCACAAGGCTATTGTTGTAGATTCATGGTGATGATGTGGACGGACTCTGGGGAGTGGCGTCTGGTGGTGAAGTTAGACAGTGGGACCCCTGTTCCGCAGCTGCCCAGGTGGAAGAGCGGGGCCATGGCGGGCTGACGATGCTTAGTGTCGAAAGCTTCCGCAAGCTACGCTCTTGGGTGGAAGTGCGATATCGGCGACGATGTATGTGTTATACGGGACGTGGGTGCTTCATCCCACAGATGATGGCGGTGGCCGAGAGGTTGGTGGGCATTGCGCCAGACGTCATTTCCGAGCGGCGCACGGTCCGCCGCCATCTATGGCCTTAATCTTGAAAGCCTCCCTCGCCAGGCAGGCAAGAGCCATCGAGAAACAACTTATCCATACACACTCTCAATTGCTAGACCCGCGATCGTATCTGATTGAAATTTACATCGTCGTGAGAGCTCGTAAAGGCTCATGAAGTCAATTTGCGTGGTGCCTGCTCGAGGTCACGAGCTCAAGCGCATGTCCGACTGACTTGTACTTAGGTATAGACCCTTCCTTGAAACATAGCATTCCCAGAATCGCACAGCGACCCCTTCGCATCCGCGGCTTTGGTGGCCAGTGCCTCTCCCTTGCTCCATCTTTAGCAAGGCATCGTCAGCGTTGCTATGCGTAAAGATAGATAGATACGGAACGATCGACATCCGACAATCTATCAAGGCCAGAATACGACCATGAAGTATAGTTACGGATATAGATGTGTTGATAGTAACAACCATCACGAACGACAATTTAACGCAGGTCCGAAACATAGGCCGAGGTTTACTAACGTGGGGCCGTTGTGCGTAAGCAGAGCTTGTGTTTGAGACCTGCTTCGCTTTGGCCATCGACCTCGAGTGTAATTATATTGAAACGACGAAGCTTGAAATGCGTGCGTCGTGCTAAGGTCTTCTGTTTGGAAGCCTCATCAAACCATCCATAAATCTTCGTGGGCCGTAGTCGCTATCACGTATCAATCGACAGCACCCGTCCTACTAGGTGCACCGCCCCTACCAGGAGACGCTGGCTCTTCCACGGACCCCTATTTTCAGCATACGTACGCTCGCGTCATGGAATGTATTGGAAGCAAAGAGAATCGGGCGTATTTTGTGTTGCTGTCCGAAGAGATCCATCATGTGAAAACCAAAGTAAGTGGAGTCAGCCTTACTGTCTTGATGGCGAGTTGTTGTCGATCTTCCTGCACGAAAGCTGACTTATTCGTGTGTCAACAGCTGATGCAGCTCAACAATGCCATGAGTGATACCAATGTGAAGACTGAATTAGATGACGGCGTGGTCGGCGCCCAGAAAATCTTGAGGAGAATCAAGGCAGCAATAGCGACGATCCGCTATCTCAACTACGGGGGTGACCCGAATGTCAACTACCGCCTGACGCAAGTTGTCAACAACGCGGGCGCTCAATGGCGACACTCCCAGCAAATTCACAACGCAAACAATCCGAACGATCTGACAACGATTGGTGATTATTGGTCGGAGTGGATTATAGATTTCTTCGAGAAGCTCGTCAGCCATACCGAGAACTGGTGCATGGTTACTATCACCAAGTTGCGGAATCATTGGGGAGTCAGAACGGGTGCAGAGGCTCAGCAGATACTTGACGCTCTGAGCAGCTTGCAGGCAGCATTGCCGACTTTGAATATTGAGACTGGGCTGATGTTCTAGGCGGTCGCATGACTGCTGCGGGAATGTGAATATCGTCACGTTTGTCCTTCTCAACGTACCAAGTAGGAATGCCAACACCAAGACAGAATCTTGACATAGTCATTGTATTGCAGAATATAACATCGTGAAATACTAGCATACAGTCGATTTTGAACTGTTTCCGAACTGATTCCTCCCTATGAATGTGTAGCCCTGTATTCTTCCGCCTCATCACAGCGGGCAGTCCCATAATGCGCCCGGGCCACCGGCAGTGGACTCGACAATTTCTTGAAGAAATTTATGCTCTAGCGTGAACCATAGAGCCAGTACACACCGCACTGGCATCCTCATCCATCCAAAATAACGCTGCGGACCATATCTCGAGTTCACAGGTACACAAGCAGCGGCATCGTACTCTGCTGCCACGACCTTGATCAGAGCACTATCAAAATCGGAGCCCACTAGCGCCTCAGCGTCAGCCAAGAAGAAGACTCGAAACGGGTTGTCGTCTGCGTTCATCGGCCGGCCTCCAACTCCCTCCACGCACAGCTGTCGAACCTGCTCCAGCGTCAAGCCATCTAACACTGTAGAGTCTGATCGAGCGTCGAGTTTGAATAGAGACCAAGCTTTTGCAGTGCTAGTCGTGTCGTCTTCAGCCCCGTCTTGGCTCTCGAGGTCGAGCTTAGTCTCAGTAGTCATTCGCTGGAGCAATTCGCTCCACCGCTGATCCGATCCAGGGCCGTAGTATGTCCGGTAGATAGTGAAGCCCCAATAAACCATGTCATTCGGAACGTCGACGAAGGGCACGGTCACGGGATGTCGCTTAAGACTGTCTAGAAACTTCTGGACCGATGGTGGCATGGTGGCGGTGAAGGTCGTAGCGTCAGGTAATTTGCAAGTGCAAGCGCGAAAGACGGGTTGGCGATGTGAGACTGAAGCACGTACGATAGTGGGTATACGTGCGACCAGAAAGCTTGCGGGATTCCCGAGGTCTGACCAGGGTGATGTATACCTAGGTATAGCAAACGAGCGCTAGCCTCATCAGGCCGCCACTTGGCATCACAGAACCTGCATACAGACCTACTCCTTTGGCAATGCAGCCGGCGCGGCATCCCAGGATACGTAGATTAACTTGGCAACGAAAACCTTCAACCGACCCACTCCGCCCTGCATGAGAATAAACCCGAGAGCAAGCATCGAGGAGCCGGGAGGGGAACCTCATACATCATGAGGAAGGAACTGTACATGCGAAGTGTTATAAATAAAGGTTGAAACCGTGGTAGGCATGCATATCTGCGTATCAGTGATCCGTGGAGAAAGAGACGCGGGAGGCATGAGCTAGTCCTTCTATGGCTTAGTGCGTTCGCCATATCTGCATCGCACTTGCCGCTTCATCGCGCACGTCATCCGGAATTCTCGATCTGAACCATTTTCGACAGTCGCATTGACTGCATCATTATCTATATCACCACACTCATTTTTGGATACCCTAGAGAAAGTTAGAAATATGGCGCAACGTGAAGACAGCGAACTGTACCCTGCGAAGTTTCTTGCGGAAAGCGCCCATCCGGAGAAGACACCAAATCCTCCCGATCTCCTCATTTTGAATCAACCAATAGCCCATTTCACTGCCTTTTCACGCCTTTGGAAGCACACTGGGTACCGCATATGTGCCGATGGCGGGGCGAATAGACTTTACGACATGCTGAAAGGTGACTTGATAGCGCAACGCGAACAATACGTGAGTAAGTATGTGATATATAGCGTCAACACAGGTCGCTGACAGGCATAGCTACCCGACATGATTCATGGAGACTTGGACTCGTTACGCGATGATGTGCGTGACTACTACGAAGCACGAGGTGTTCCTGTGCTACGCGATGGTGACCAATACAGCACAGACTTTGGGAAATGCATGAAGAAAATCTCGTCGCGTCTTACTTCCTCAATGGTTCGGGATGTGATAGTCCTTGGTACCCTCGGTGGGAGGGTTGATCAGGGCCTTGGGCTCCTGAACGAGATATACAGAGAAGAGAATCGACATGCCGACCTTCGCCTATGGCTGTTCTCCGAGTGCAGCCTGAGCTTCATACTTCGGAGTAGGGAGACTCTGCTGAGAGGGCTACAGGAAGATGGTGTCTTTACTGAGAATGTAGGGTTTCTTCCCATATACGGACCGGCGATCATCTCTACCGAAGGTCTGGAATGGGATGTCAAGGAGTGGCCTACGCAGATGAACGGCGGTCAGCTCAGTACGAGCAACCACGTCAAAGCCAACGATGTGAGGGTTGGAACGGACGTGCCGATATTGTTCACGATAGAAAGAGCGCCTTTGTGAGAGGTTAGGGAAGTGTCGTGCTAGATATGGACTTGACATACTCGCGACTCATGGGAATTGACACGTAACGGTATCCTCGTGCTACATGTTCCAGCACGCTGTTGTTGTGTAACATTCATTGGCCTCGCCGATGCTGTCTGCATGGGAGACAGTGGATCAGGGCCATCATGAGGTAAGCGCGTGCGTCGTTGAGCCCATGGTGCTTTCCACGGTTCGAGCAATCGGAAGAAGGTGCGGCCTGCGAGGCGACGACCTCACATACATCATGAAGATGGGAGACGACTCTGGCCACAGTGGTGAGGGTACCTGTCGAGTCGTGTTGTGCCAGTAACCGTTCGGCTGTGGTGAAAGCATGAGGAGAGTCCGAAGCGCGACGCAGCACAGGCGCAGGTGCAGGCAACCGCTCCTGCCCGTCTTCGGAACCGCTCCTGTTGTTTGGTGAACCCTAATGGGAAGCTGTGATTGGCCGAGTCGTGGGCAACTCGCCTTCACCATCAATGCTACTATCAGACCAGTTCTCCCGCTCAAACAATCACCGCGCTTGCCAGGCCAACATCGCTACTCACTGTCGCTACTACGCGCCTTTTGGAAGTTTATTCACTCGCATACGCAGCTCTTGTCTTCTGCGAGCCTCCCCGCTTTCTGTGTTGCTCACATACAGGTGCCATATCCACCCCGACCCTCCCACGTCCCACCGCGTCAAAGCTCTCCGACCAGCACCTTGCCTCGCGACGTCAGGCACAACACGTTCGCAGACCCTCGTCTCCCGCTACTCCCCACTGTCTCTTTTCAAACTCAAAATATATCTGAGCATTCTGTCGACAAAGCTACTACACGCAGCATCACAATTGGCGTGAGCTGCACGACATAGCGCGCGCTGTGGGGCAAAACGCCGGCGCGAACGCCAATCGGTCGCTAATCGCCATGGCGTCCATACGAAGAGTCGCCTCGTCCACGTCGTCCGAGTACTCGGAATCACCTCAAAAGCGAGATGAGCAGCTCAGGCGATCGTCGTCGTCGAGCTCAACTGTCGAGAGGGAAGCTGCGTCTCCCCGCGACACCAGCACAGAAGGAGCATCCGAGCCAGCAGGGGCAGCCGAAGAGCCGCTGATTGGCCAGCCGAGCGGCAGTCAGAGCCCAGCTTCTGACCATGGCTTCGACTTCGGCATCCCGCCAACGGCAGAGCGCGAATCCTCGCCGTTGCCCTTTGCGCCCATCGTCCCTTCGCCGCTCGCAAACTCCAGATCAGCGAGCGATGGAAGCTCAGACGGGCACGAGCCGCAGTCGAGCGATGATACCCAGTCGACCAAGCATCGGCCGCGCACCACGACAGGCCGTCTTCACTTGCGCATTCCGCCCCGGCCTCACTTGAGGACACCAAAAGCGAGGAGTACAACAGACTTGACAGGTCATGGAGCCCGCTCTCCGGGCACCCCTCTCACATTACAAGACTTGGGAACCGACTATACTCGCTACTTCAACCCTTTCTCAGATTCCGCCAGTAGCCATAGCCGCAGTCGGAGGACCTCCTTGTCAGAACGGCAGTCCTATGCCAGACTGGCCGCCCGCTCGCGCACAACCACTCCGCCGCCTGGCATTCCACCAATCAACCCGTTCCTTACCCCCAATGCGTCTGTAACGGGTCTCAACGATAGCGTGATTGAGCTGTACGATGACAAGAAGAATGTGTCTTTCATCGACGACAGATTAACGGCGCCTTACGAGGAGAAAGGGATACTGTCCTGGCCACTGGTTTGCGACTTAGAGGAAGCGGACGATGAAATGCACATGCCTCGCGACGACGATGACATCAAGTTCAAACCGAGGATACGCGATCACTTTACAAGAGACAGCATCGTTTCCACTATTGGCCTAGCCTTCATGATATCAGGACTCTTATTCATTTTCATCGGCCTTCCAGTACTCTCTGCGGTAGGCGTCATCGACTATAACTCAGCCTACGGTATGCCACTGAGCATGTTTCCCAATCCCTGGAGGCCTCAAATCTGGGCTATAGTCAACAACAAAAGGTATCCACTCCTGGAGAACATACGGACAGGCTTGATCGACCCCGACACACCTGACTCTGTCAAGACAAGGGCCGGAGAGTTTGGCGATGAGTATGTGCTCGTCTTCAGCGATGAGTTTAATGACAATGGCCGCACGTTCTATGAAGGAGACGACCCTTACTTCTTTGCACCCAACGTCTGGTATGGCGCGACTCAGGACGTTGAATGGTATGATCCAGATGCTGTCACTACCAAAGATGGCACGCTTCAGCTGCGCCTGGAAGAATTCTTCAACCATGGTCTCAAGTTCCGATCCGGTATGCTGAACAGTTGGAACCAGCTGTGCTTCAAGGGCGGTATCTTCGAAGTTTCAGTGTCGCTACCAGGACCAGCCGGTGTACAGGGACTCTGGCCTGGCGCCTGGACAATGGGCAATCTCGGTCGCCCAGGCTATCTCAGTACAACCGACGGGCTGTGGCCCTACACCTACCAAGCTTGCGATGCTGGTATCACGCCTAATCAGTCTAGTCCTGACGGCTTATCTCACCTACCTGGACAACGACTCAACTCATGCACCTGCCCGGGTGAAGACCACCCATCGCCAGGTAAAGGAAGGGGAGCACCAGAAATTGACGTCATCGAGGTGGGTGCCACATCAGGATACCCAGGTCCAGCAGGTCTGCCAATAGCAACACAGAGCTTCCAGGTTGCCCCCTTCGACATCTGGTACCATCCGAATTACAACTTCACGGCGTTCCCAGACCTTCGTTACAGTGGGCTCAACACCTACGCCGGCGGTGCCTTCCAAGAGGCCATCTCTGCCAGCACAATACTAAACAGGGACTGGTTCGACAACAAGCAGTATCAGCGGTACTCTTTCGAATATGCTCCCGGAGAAGGCAAGGACGCATACATCTCCTGGAAGGTTGGTGACCAGACCATGTTCATCATGGACGGCCGTGCTGTAGGACCCAACGGCAACATTCAAGCTCGACAAATCGCAGAAGAACCCCTGTCACTCATTCTCAACCTTGGCATCAGTAACTCCTGGACCTGGATCGACTGGAAGAACCTAGTCTTTCCTGCCACCATGCGATTCGACTACGTGCGGTGGTATCAGAAGAAAGGCGAGGAGATGGTTACGTGCGATCCCCCGGGCTTCGAGACTACAGAATACATCAAGAAGCATCCGAAAGCTTACCAGAACCCTAACTATACAGTACATGCCCCTGCCTTGCTTATCATACAAGCACCCAACTAACGCAAAGCAGTTATGGGATCAAACCGGTTATGACTGGCCGAAGCACAAGCTCAACAGCGATTGTTGACCCGAGACGCCCTCTCACGACAGCGAGTACGATTACAATCACGTTTACGATTGACGAGTTACCACGAGCGCGAACGTTCCTAAAAGATCGCTTCGAGCCTCTTCCTCTACGTACATTGCAGCTATACGACCGACTACGATCGTTTACGGAACATGGCACTCGAGCTGTACATTACATTTCAGGAAC